GAAGCAGATGATTCATTGACAGACAGCGAACAAGGAAGCGCGACATTCCAAAAGATGTGTCACTGAGACGTCTGAGAAACAAAAACACCGAGCCTGTCTGCTTGGCGGCAGACCGGTGCGATGGGACCACCGAAAGAAAAATCAACACAGTCTCAGCGAGCTGCACTGTGCAACAAGTTCGGTAGATCTTCGGGTCTCACATATTCCAATGACATCTGCCTTGATCTTACCCGTTTCCGTCACGTAGACGACAACAAATGCACCTGTCAACAGCGCTGTTGCATTAGGACTGACCATGAAAGTCTTGGTGACGTTTCGGCTCCGTTTACAAATCAGGTAATGTGGCTTACTGAGTCCAGGGTGTTGTTCAGATCGACGAAGCAGCCTGCATTTACTTTCGTTGCTTCTGTTAACCTCTGAACAATCTTTGGAGAGTAATTGTTTTAGAATTCATTTTGGGTGCCAACAACGGTGAACTCTTCCCAATGTCTCTCCAATCTTCAAGTTCCAACGGAATCAGAGAAGAGGAGTGCTTAGTGAGGTTTTAATCGCAAAAAGATATCATTGGCGAGTGACAGACGTACGAAAAATTATACTGAAAGGGCTATGGAAAAAATTCGAGTTAAAAATTTTACTTAACGCGCCTACGTTCCTCGCGCGCCACCTAACAGTGGTCTTCCGCAGAGACTGTGATTTAACGATCCGACATTTAGAAGTTCGATAATATTTATCAAACTATACTATATAATATTGCACAAGCAGGCGAAAAGGCTATATTCTGAATTAGGTCTGGAAAAATTTTCCCGTAGTGAATACGTAGTTTCGGTAAGAACGAAACTGCTGAAGGTTTGACTGAAAAGATGGTGAAGTTCGCTAAACAACTAAAATTAAAAGCTGATGAACATAATACTGGACAGTCGATTGATTCACACGAATGATGAATTATCAAACTCATTGAATTAGAGTGACGAAAGTTGCACTGCTGAAGCGGCTTTAGAACCAAAACAAAAGGAACCGAAACTTTTCGTGATCAAGGGGATGATAAACGCTTTCTCTGACATTTCAGCATTAATGGAATGACTGGAGAATATGAATCGTAATGCTTCACGGTTCTTAAAAGTTCAGAAAGAAACAGATAATGCTTTAGCCTTCTATCGAGTGATTTATGGAGAAAAACGAATTTAATATTAAGTCGCCTCTTGATAGCTGATCATATAGGGAAGGTCGAAAGGCCAAATCAAACATTTCTTTATTTTGCTCAGTTTATGCCATTTATTTTGAAATTGTGCTTCATGATCCGAGGAAAACCCACTGGAGAAAAGGAGGCTGCGCATGAGCTCACCGAGTGACACTGTGAGCGGTCAAACGTCACAGATTTGTCACCTGGAACCGCATTCGCTCGGGTGAAAGGAAACGGACATTCTGTCTGAGACGCCTGGCAGGCATGAGCAGTAGCCAAATTCATGCGGCAGGATCAAAATAAATGGAAAACACAAATAAAAGTCTCTAATCACATGCGCAGAGCTCGAGTTGGGCTACAGCGCACAATTGGAGGATGATCGATGGACTTCAGCAGTGACAGACTGGTACTCAATGGGTTGCAAGCACCCAACTGGAAGACCCGACTGAGAAGAGACAAAGAACTGAAGGAGAAAGTGAAGCTTGTGGCGACAAATCGTACGAGACAAACAAACGTGAACACTCAGACTCGCAATTCGCAATGCCCGTTAATTACGATGCGGCAACAGGCAATATGAACTGAATTATGTTACTCTGCAGTAATAATTACATAGTGAAATCTGAAATTTGTGTATGCATCCTGTGAATGAAACTAACAGAACTTTTAACATACTCTAATGCAAACACGTAAACAATCGAGGGTGGGTTAAATCCGACTTACGCAAAGGTCTGCGGAAAATAACTTAGGTAAGTCGAGGTCTGTCTGTATATTATGCTGAAGGACGATTCGGCACGACCGTGAAACGCAAGGGACATTCCTACGAGCAATTATTAGGAGGAGTGAGCAGCAACTAACCTTCATTCACACAAAGTTTATGAATTAAGAACACATTTTCAAACTAGGCA